ACCCCTTTTGTTTTTTGTTTTTGAAGTAGTTTGAAAGAATCTTCCTTTTATTTTGTTTTTGAAGTAGTTTGAAAGAATCTCGGGGACCCCTTATGCTTGGTTTTTGAAGTAGTTTGAAAGAATCTCGAGGACCTCTTTTGTTTGGTTTTGAAGTAATCTGAGACACCTTGTGCCTGATTTTTAAAGTGGTATGAAAGAGTCTCGGGGACCCCTTTTGTTTTTTGTTTTTGAAGTAGTTTGAAAGAATCTTCCTTTTATTTTGTTTTTGAAGTAGTTTGAAAGAATCTCGGGGACCCCTTGTGCTTGGTTGTTGAATTAGTTTGAAAGAATCTCGAGGACCCCTTTTGTTTCGTTTTTAATGTAGTTTGGAAAAATCTTGGGATCTCTAATCTTGTTTTTTGAAGTAATCTGAGACCCATTGTGGTTGATTTTTGAAGTAGTATGAAAGAATTTCGGGGACTCCTTTTGTTTTGTTTTTGAAGTAGTTTGAAAGGATCTTGGGGACCCCTGGTGCCTGGTTTTTAAAGTAGTTTGAAAGAATCTCGGAAACCCTTTATTGTTTTGTTGTTAAAATGGTTTGAAAAAACCTGGAGGACCTCTATTGTTTGGTTTTGAAGTAATCTGACACCCATTGTGACATATTTTTGAAGTAGTTTGAAAGAATCTCTTGGACCTCTTTTGTTTCGTTTCTAAAATAGTTTCAAAAAATCTTGGGTATTCCTTATCTTGTTTTTAAAATAATTTGAGACAATCTCGGGGACCCCTTGTGCCTGATTTTTGAAGTACATAATATGAAAGAATTTCCGGGAACTCTTTTGTTTGGTTTTGAAGTAGTTTGAAATATTTTTGAGTATCTCTCATCTTGTTTTTGAAGTAATCTGAGACCCCGTGTGGCTGATTGTTGAAGTAGTTTGAAAGAATCTCGTGGACCCCCTTTGTTTCATTTTTAAAATAGTTTCAAAAAATCTTGAGTATTCCTTATCTTGCTTTTAAAATAATTTGAAAGAATTTCGGAGACCCCTTGGGCAATTTTTGAAGTACATAATATGAAAGAATCTCCTGGACTTCTTTGGTTGGTTTTGAAGTAGTTTGAAATATTTTTGAGGATCTCTCATCTTGTTTTTGAAGTAGTCTGAGACCCCGTGTGGCTGATTTTTGAAGTAGTATGAAAGAATCTCTGGGACGCCCTTTGTTTTTTGTTTTTGAAGTAGTTTGAAAGAATCTCCATTTTGTTTTGTTTTTGAATTAGTTTGAAAGAATCTCGGGGACCCCGTTTATATCGTTTTTAAAATAATTTGAAAAAATCTCGGAAACTCCTTTTGTTTTGTTTTTGAAGTAGTATGAAAGAATCTCGGGCACCCCTTTTGTGTTTTTGAAGTAGTTTGAAAGAATCTCGGGGATCCTTTTTGTTTCGTTTTTGAAATAGTTTGAAAAAATCTTGTGTATTCCTTATCTTGTTTTTAAAATAATTTGAAAGAATCTCGGAGATCCCTTATGCCTGATTTTTGAAGTAGTATGAAAGAATCTCGGGGATCCCTTGTGCCTAGTTTTTGAAGTGGTTTGAAAAAATCTCGGGGACCCTTTTTGCTTCGTTTTCAAAGTAGTTTGAAAAAATCTTGGGATCCCTTATCTTGTTTTTGAAGTAATCTGCGACCCATTGTGCCTGATTTTTGAAGTAGTATGAAAGAATCGCGGGGACCCTTTTGCTTTTGTTTTTGATGCAGTTTCAAAGAATCTTCCTTTTATTTTGTTTATGAAGTAGTGTGAAAGAATTTTGGGGACCCCTTTTATTTCGTTTTAAAGTAGTTTGAAAAAATCTTGTGTATTTCCTTAACTTGTTTTTAAAATAATTTGAAAGAATCTCGGAGACCCCTTGTGCCTGATTTTTGAAGTAGTAGGAAAGAATCTCGGGGACCCCTTGTGCCTAGTTTTTGAAGTAGTTTGAAAGAATCTCGAGCATCCCTTTTATTTCGTATTTGAAGTAGTTTCAACAACTCTTGGGTATCCTTATCTTGTTTTTGAAATAATTTGAAAGAATCTCGGAGACATCTTGTGCCTGATTTTTGAAGTAGTATGCAAGAATCTCGGGGACTCCTTTTGTTTTGTTTTTGAAGTAGTTTGAAAGAATCTCGAGGACCTCTTTTGTTTGGTTTTGAAGTAATCTGAGACCCCTTGTGACTGATTTTTGAAGTAGTTTGAAAGAATCTCGTGGACCCTTTTGTATCGTTTTTAAAATAGTTTCAAAAAATCTTGGGTATTCCTTATCTTGTTTTTAAAATAATTTGAAAGAATCTCGGAGATCCCTTTTGTTTGGTTTTTGAAGTAGTATGAAAAAATCTCGGGCACCCCTTTTGTTGTGTTTTTGAAGTAGTTTGAAAAAATCTTGACAACCATTTTTTTTCGTTTTTAAAGTAGTTTGAAAAAATCTTGGGATCCCTTATCTTGTTTTTGAAATAACCTGAGACCCATTGTGCCTAGTTTTTGAAGTAGTTTTAAAGAATCTCGAGCATCCCTTTTGTTTCGTATTTGAAGTAGTTTGAAAAACTCTTGGGTATCCTTACCTTGTTTTTGAAATAATTTGAAAGAATCTCGGAGACTTCTTGTGCTTGATTTTTGAAGTACGTATGAAAGAATCTCGGGGACCTTTTGTTTTGTTTTTGAAACAGTATGGAAGAATCTCGGACACCACTTGTGCCTGATTTTTGAAGTAGTATGAAAGAATCTCGGGGATTCCTTTTGTTCTGTTTTTGATGTAGTTTGAAAGTATCTCCGTTTTGTTTTGTTTTTAAAGTAATTTGAAATAATCTTGGGAATCCCTTATCTTGCTTTTGAAGTAATTTGAAAGAATCTCGGGGGCCCCTTGTGCCTGATTTTTGAAGTAGTATGAAAGTATTTCGGGGACTCCTTTTGTTTTGTTTTTGAAGGAGGTTGAAAGAATCTCGGGGACCCTCTTGTGCCTGGTTTTTGAAGTAGTTTGAAAGAATCTCGAGGACCCGTTTTGTTTCGTTTTTAAAGCAGTTTCAAAAACATCTTGGTATAAGGAGGTTAAAAGAATTTCGGGGACCCCTTGTGCCTGGTTTTTGAAGTAGTATGAAAAAATCTCGAGAACCTCTTTTGTTTCGTTTTTAAAGCAGTTTCAAATAAATCTTGGGTATAAGGAGGTTGAAAGAATCTCGGACACTTCTTGTGCCTGGTTTTTGAAATAGTTTGAAAGAATCTCGAGGATTCCTTTTGTTTCGTTTTTAAAGCGGTCTAAAAAAAATCTTGGGTATTCCTTATCTTCTTTTTAAAATAATTGGAAAGTATAACGGAGATTCCTTGTGCCTGATTTTTGAACTAGTATGAAAGAATCTCGGGGGTCTCTTTTGTGTCGTTTTTAAAATAGTTTGATAAAATCGTAGGTATTCCTTATCTTGTTTTTAAAATAATTTGGAAGAATCTCGGGGACCCTTTGTGCCTGATTTTTGAAGTAGTTGGAAAGAATCTCCCTTTTGTTTTGTTTTTGAAGAAGTTTGAAAGAATCTCGGGGATTTCTTGTGCCTGGTTTTTGAAGTAGTTTGAAAGAATCCTGGCGACCCCTTTTGTTCTGTTTTTGAAGTACATAGTTTGAAAAAATCTTGGGGATTCTTGTTTTGTTTTTGAAAAAATTTGAAAGAATCTTGGAGTCCCGTGATCAGGGCAATTCTCAATTTCCAGATGGTCCCGTTTCCCCTGGCTGTGGTGGGGTCTGTTGTGGGCGTGTTTAGCATATGTGTTTTAAATGAAACATCTGTTTAATAATAATAATACTGCTACTAACTACCGATACGAAACGTATCGTTGTAGATAAATTAGAATCAGAACATTGAAATCGAGTAGGTATTTACAATAAAATGTTTAAATTAAGTATTAGTTATATGATTAAATTGAAATTAAGATGTTTGTCGTCAAAATAACATTTTTTATGATACCTGACTCTTTTCTTCTTACAAATCGTGCATAAAGCATGAATTACAATGCGTGCTTAAGTCTAAAATTGTCATACTCCCAATTGGCGAGCCTAAATCAAGCAATAAGACACGCCCAACGACACTAGGACAATGAAAACGCTCGATCCTTAAACACGTTTCTACAAACGTTAAACACGCCCCCACTGAAGTCACGCCCCGTGCCTGACGAGCCTAGACGTGCCTAAATGAACCCAGAACCCCCATAAATATTCTAATCATAGTATATTCCCTAAAATTTTATGCCTAATAAAATTGTAAATGAAATTAGATTCTCCACTCGGAGCTTAAGAAATATACATTTGTTTTCAAACCGGGTACATTTTTTTTTTAGTATTCTCGGATTACATGCAATTTAAACGAGTTTTTGATGACAATATCAAGCCGATTTGCTTTAATTAAAAACGAAAAAGACATTATATGAAAGTATGTACTAAGTTCTGGGCAAAACTGTTTGACTTTTGGATTTTATTTTTAATATCCCAACGACCATTAACTTACTAGTTCGTGTGAAATTTGGTTTGCTATTTTGTTTACCTTTACAAAACACTTAAAAAGATAAACACAAGCTTAGAACGCCAGTTAAGAATTGATGAGAAATTTATTGCCTCACGCAAGAAATGTTTATAAAAAAAACTGTTCGTTTTTTTTTAAGTAGAAAATCTGTAGGTCTAGGATTCATTTTTACCAAAAATTTTGCGTTTAGTCGTGCATACGCACTTTACGCATTTGATCCTCCGGACTCCGGATCCAGTCCGTCTCTGTGCGAGCGCAGTGACCCCAGTCCACCCCTGCCCCACCTGTCGTTAGTCATCTCCAACCATTAGCACCCATCCAGACACAGGCATGCAAAACATTTTTAATTACCAGCATCGATGGTCCGTCCTGATTCTGGGTATCGCCCAACGCTGATAATGTAATTTCTGATTTATGTCCGAAGAATCCGGCGCACTCGTGCCAGTTCGCCGCCACTCGGCGCACCATCCTCATAGTGGTTTTGGTGAAAGTGCCATTCACGTTGGCAGTCCTGCTCGAAAAATATACAAAATGGCGACGGCGAGAACCCGTTGATGTCGCCGATCCCGTTGTAAATCAGTCGCAAAATCGCCAAAATAAAGTGAACGCCGGCCTGAAACCGCCCCCAATGTGCATCCGAAAAACCTGAGTGTCCCTGACAAATGTTCTACGGCGGGACTTGCGAATGAAAGTAGTGAAAAACGTGCTTAAAAAATGTGATGTTGTTTCTTTGTCTTTATTGTCGACGATGTGAAGTGCGGTCGTGTTGCTGTTGAGTTTTTCCGCCCGTTTTCCACCCCCAGACGCCCTGCAGCCTTCGCCGCCGCCGCGGGACCGTGCCACGTAAGTCGCAAGGGCCGGGGGCGGCCAGGGGCGGATTCGTGCAACTTTTCATTGAAAAATTTAAGTAGGACACGAGGAATCTTGGGCGTATTCGACAACAATGTCGGCACGATTCCGATGGGCCACTGTTTTGATTTATTGGGGCTTCTTTCAATTTTTATTAAAACTATCGATTGCAGACACGCTTTATCGGTTTCCTAACTTTTCATTTTCGGCCGGTATTGTTTCCTTCGCGGACGGATTTATTGCGGTTCTTAGTTTTTTTTTAACGTAAACACGAGATTCTTTTTACTAACACCACACGTTCTTTTTTTATTGCAGATTCCCCTCGATTTATCAAGACTGGAACCCCATTTCTACGAAACTGACTACTCTGTAAGTAACACGAACTCACCCCTAAAAGTTTTGTGAGTGTAGATTTTATTTCGGATAAGGACGAGCCGGATTTTATCCGATAGAAAATATGTGGTTAAAAAATGTGAAATGCGAGGGACACGGTTTCGACAATATTGTTTTCACGTTTACCGAGTGTTTATTTTCAACCCAGGAAATTTTAACCGTCGACAATATAAAAATACTACCCTCTTTTTATTAAAACGTCTCGGCGTGATTTATTAACTGACTTCATGCGGCTAGAAAAATCGTGGGAGTGAAAAACATTCGAAAAAGTGAGTCAAAATAATTAAGTATGTCGTAGAGAGTGATAAAATGCAGTTAAAAAGGAATTTTCAAAACAACAGAAATTGAAAAGTTATTTGAAATACACTATTTTCAAGTCAAAAACAAACATTTGGAAACGAATTGGGGTAAAAATTACACATTGTTGAAAGAAATAGCTCCAGATTTTGATATTGGACTGTGTATTACTTTAAATTGAAAAATACTGATGTACAATATAATACACGAGATTGCTTTTCAGATAAGAATCCGTGGACACAATGAAAAAAAAAACATTTATAAAGAAAGAAAACTGTTATAGTTTGAAAAGCAGAAAAAAGTTCTAAGAAACACTTCTTTTAATGTTAGTGTGTCAATCTTTTAAATCGTAATTGAAATTTTACAGTTTTAGGGTGTTTTCTTCAGTGTTGGAAGTGTTTTTTGCCTTTTTGAACTTTTAATTAAACGTTAAAAATTAATTAGTTTTATCTTTGATGATAACTTAGAAGTTAACGTGTATTTAAGTGGAAATAAAGTGTGAGTAATTTTAGGCTCTCTATTTTTAAACGCTGTGAAATGGGGAATTAGAATTAGAAAGAAATGATAGTAAATAGAGACGTCGTAAAAATGTTTTATCTGACTGTATTGTTGTTTTATTTTTTGAACTATTTAACGTGTATAGAAAAACCATTAGTGATTAGATTATCGTGGACATGGTAAATCAAAAATTATTTGTTCATCCCCTACAAAAACTTTATGACGTCATGTCGAAATCTTGGAAAATAGTCAGTGAAGCTTAATTTTCATGATTAGACCACAAACATTCTCCCGAAATTCTGGGTACACAGCACCGTTGAGATAAACATTACAGGGTATTTGTTTTGTTGTTGCTGAATAATTGCCTGTTTGTTTTTAATTTAAAAAATACCACAAAAACCACATTTTCGACTAAAACCGACTTTACTGTGTTTCTTTTTCGTGAGAGGGAAAATGAAACAAATCTGTTCTAGATTTGTTCACTTATTGTCTGATGGCGTGATTGACACCTGCCAATTTTTTAATTATTATCTTTGTTATTATTATTATTATTATTTATCGAAATGTTAAAAAAAAATAATCTTGGAATTAAGATAAATGTAGTTGACCTTTTGAGGATGGAATAACCAGAAATGGAAAACTCATTCATGTACTGAGTTACTAACAGATGAAATGTGATTTTTCTGTATCGTTTTAATGTGAGCTTGAAAAACCTTGTGTTATTAAAATAGCGTTGAAATGTTTTTGTTGTTGTGCTGGTTGTATAGGTAATGGATGTACCCGCTAATGATAAAAAATTGTGCCTTTTTGCCATACCGTAATTAATTGTACGACAGATATGCCCATCAAAACGCCACTAGGTAAATTATAATATCCTGTCTGGGTTTAAATCATGGGCTAAGGTGTCAGCACGCCGGCCGATAACCCAAATCAAGAGCCGAAGGTTTGAAATGTCGACCAATATAATTTGCATAGTGGTGTTTTTTTATATTATCTGGTGTATAAAATCTGGCAAACAAAAAATTCATAATCTCCAAGTTGTATTATTAATCTTACAGTGCACGTGTCGAAATTGACATACGTATCCTTGTTGAAATAACGTGATTACAACATTTTCAAATAGGAAAACTCACGAGAAATACACGTATACGTTGCGTTTTTAAGATTTAGAAAAAACCAGCGTTTTTTATTTTATTTTAATTAAATTGGCCAAATATAAATCGAATTAATTGTATTCATTTTTTAGCATAAATAAATATGCGGGTATAAATTTTCAAAATATAATTGAATGAAATATTTGCTTGAATAATTAATACATTGTGCAAATGAGAGATTATTGATTCGTTTTGATTATTTAATGTAAATGATCAGCTTCATCTCTATGTTTATAATGAGGCAATAATTAAAACTTGATAATCACTGACAGTTTTTGTCGTGCTGAATTTTCATCAAACAAATACTTTAATCGCATTTATGCATGGATCGATAGTGCGATTCTTTAATATTACGTGTACAAAATTATGTGTAAGATGTGTTTAAACTTGTCCATTTCTACGTAACAACATTATCAAATAATGTTATTGCTAGAAGCAATAAGAATGTATAATGAGTCCCAAACGTGCTGCAGAGATTTCATATTGAAATTTTTTTTATCAGTACAAAGCTTTTCACTGCGCATTAAAATGAAGTATCATGAAAAGTAACGCTTTTTAGAGTTGTTATTTTTATTTAGGCGTACAAAGCGAAAGCGAAATTAAAATCTTTTTTACAAAGTCTCACTATGAATTCAAATATATGTTCCCTTTTTGTATATTTTTATATCTATTTAAGGGAGTTTTGCCGCAGCATCACTGTTCTAACAATGAAATAAAACAACAAAATTTGAAGGATCTGCTGCGGAAACCCACCAAAGTAATCATTGTCTGTTGTGTTTCGTGTTTCGTCAGCGTTCTTTGATTGTGGTTGAAATTGTCGCAGTCAACATTAATTTTCGAAAAATTGAATGCACCGTCTCCGATAAAATTCTCGCAAATCTCATCCCTCACGTGAAACAAATTTCAAGCTCCCGCAAATCGCGCAAATTTTTTGTCCACAAAGATCGCTTTGTTCTGAAGTATACGATTGAACCTTCCTCAAGACCGCATCCCACGCCTTTTTATGTGAAGAAGATATCCTTATCTGACTTCGTCTCGGGAAACAGATAACGTCTCTCAAACGCCACTTGAAGCAATTTCGTCCACATTTTTTTTCAAAGTGTGATTACTTTAATAACTGTACAAACTGGAAGATTTAACGTCGCCCGACCTCCTTTCAGGAGTTTTCAAACTGCAACGTCGGCTGTATTGTTTTTAATCTTTTTACAATTAGCGTTTCCAACTGTACAAACATTCCGTTTTAAATGAATCAAAGTGCTTGATTATTAAGTGCAGTGGAATAAAAGAGGGAGATGTTTTTAATTTTGTAGGTTTTGTTTGGAAGTGTAATTTCATTTGTTGTTCAAAGTCGGTCGAGGTGTGGGGAATTTCATAAATACGAAATTGCATCGGATCTTGCGTGAGCTCGCTAATCGAATTTGGATTTTTAAATGTGACGGACGGGCTTAACTAGAATCGACCGATGGTGCCGACATAGATTTTAGATGATGTTTGCCGTTCCAATATTAATGATCATCGTGAGTTCGCTTATTTGTGAATGTCGTTAAATAATTAACACCGCTGGATTTAGAACTTTTTTTGGCCAAAAAAACCAATTTACGCAAATACGCTAATTAAACGCCGGCGCGTTTTTGTATTGTGTAATGAATACGTGCAAATAGTAGAATGAGTCATGAATGTGGAGCGCAGCGAGTCACCAGAGCGACCGAACTCCATACACATATTAAATTAAGTATGTATCTAGTGATAAATGCACTAATTTTCCAGGTCGTTGTCTCGGTTTACCATGTGTGAGATCGATTTCTGCACGTGTACAATCTCACAGCTTTGTCGTCTGCTATCTCTAAACCTTAAATTTTCTGCCTTTTTCACTTTGAACTGCATTCGGCTCCCCATAAATTTTAAATAATGCACGGGAGAGACTTGAGGAGCGACAGCAAACTTCCAGATCGTTCTGATAATCTCAAGTAATTTACAGAGTCTCAATGCAAGTGGAATAATTGAAAATAATGTCAGTTCTGAAGTGAATTTCCAAGTAGCTAAGTTAATTACGTGTGTACATGAGGAATTGTGATTTATCTAAACGTAATCGTGATGTAAAAGTTACTCAACGTTAATGTTTGATGTGCTTTCTCTTTGCTGAAGTTGTGATTTTCGTTTAAAAATTAAACATTTAAATCGCGCCATAATCCGTTGTTTTATCTTCTGGGGCGTTATAATTAAGTAATTTGCACAAATAATGGCAAAAATTTATCGAATACGCCATCGCCAAATACGTGAATATTAAGCTTTTGTAAATTATTGAAATTGGTTATTAACGGGAATAATTCCGTTCCGTTAAAAGTAATGACGACACTTCTTAACTAAACCAATTTCATTTTTAATTAAACACTAATTTAATGCTGTACAGATTTTCATTTAATTTTGAATGATTTTCTAATAAAGTGTCACCTGGAGTTGGAGGAATTGTGTAAAATGAGAGAGAATTGTATTAAACTTGATTTAGTAAATTATACATTGTAAAGTGAATTAATTTTGAAAAGCACAGCGGAGAATAAAGTGACAGCAGCAGATGTATGTTAACTTGTTTCATATACAGTATTAATTGTTGTTTAAAGGTTTTGTTTTTATTGTGCATCCGTAACGAGTAAACATGTCCAGATTGTCTGGTCTTTTTTGTTCATATTTTGTTAACTCTGCCGTGCTTTCCCTTTTTCGAGCTTAGCTATTCCGACGATTGAAAGCGCAGATTACGCATGCAGTTAATTAATTCTAAAATACATAAAATAGCAAACTTTGAGACAACACACTAAAATATAGTGTGTGTTTTCTCGATGCGTCCTGGTGGGATCTGAAGACAGTCGAGCTTTATACTTGCGGGTAATTTAAATATTCATATAAGTTTGTTTGCACACCCAGGATGGTTACATGGAAGCGATTATTCACAAGAGCTTTATTCCGCCCGCGTTAGTCAAAGTATTCCAAAGTTTTTTATTACCATAAAAAAAAACATAAATTCGAAACTAA